TGGAGAAATCTGAATAGAGTCTGTAATTTAGTTAACAGTATTGCACAAATGTAAATTTTTTGTTTTTATAAATGTATCATAATTATTAGGCAAAGCTGGGTGTAGGGTGTACAGAATGCTTTGTAATATTTTTAAAACACTTCTTTAGAACTAAAATTATTTTAAAACAAAAAGTTTAAAAAAAAACCAGACTGAGCTTCAAGAAACCCAAATAAAACTTTCTTAATGAATGAAAGTGATTGAGTAGTTGAGGAAACAAATTGAAATGTCATCAAATGAATTCATTATTCAGTGAGAAAGGGAAGATTTCACAGGCCACAGTTGACATCAATTACTGGAAAAAATTAAGTTATTCCATGTTTATACCAGAAAATAGAACTACTTAATAAACTGGCTGCATGCATATATATGTATGCATCACATATATATATGTGGAAGAGTATTCTGTAAATACTGCTCTTCTCTAATACTGTTCTGCCCCTCTCTTCACACAAAAATACAACTTCAATATAATTTGATGTCACTATATGTACATTATTTCCTTTTTTACAGCTGCACAATTTCCATGGTATGGAAAGTTCATTTAACCATTCCCATATTAATGAAAATTCAAACTGTTTTCACCAACTTTACCTTTCAACATTGGAGTGGTTACAAAGTTGAACCAGATAAGGTTTTTGTCCTTAGGGCACTTACAGATAAGTGAGGGATACAAAGTAGAAAGTCAACAAAACAGGGTTAAAGTCTTAGGATGGATAAATAGAGTGTCTAAAGGATAACATAGCACAGATAACTAAGGCAGAATCAAGAGGACATCATTATTAATTTAATTTCTAAAAGCATCAAGCCATCAGCAACAGCACTCTCTCCCCAACAACTCAGCTTTTGCCACAAGAAACAGTTGCCTGGTTCAAGCTGTAGTACAGACGAAGTATGCCTCCTCTTGCAACCCAGTAAGATGCTCTACGTAGATGTGAACCTCAAGGCTTAAGCAAAGCCATCTGCAGAATCTAGCTGAGGTGGATCTTGAGCATTTTGTCACATATTAGAAGTCTAAGCAGACCAACTCATGGATTACTATTACTGTGGCCAACATAGACACCATGGGGATATTTGAAATGGCAATGGTTATTACATAGCATATCAGGTTCACAGCAATTCATAAGCATTTATGCCCTAGATAACTAGAAACCCTTTGCCACAATAATCCACAATATGAGCAGCATTTAACTATGAGTTCAGGAAGTGGGAAGAATTATCCAGAAGAGATGAGAAGTTGTGCTCCAAGATCAGTTAATTTGCTTGGATGTGGCCAGAGGCTATTTTGAAGGGTCTGCGGATCTTTTGAAATTTATCCATGCCAAATTTCCAAATGTTAGGGAACACGGTGACAGAAGGGATGGTAAAGTTTACTTTCTGAAGCAGATACACACAATCTAAGTGGAAATCAGCCTGGGCTTTGTGTGCACCACTCCCATCAGAACGTCAGTGGACTAAGCTCAGTTGAGCAAAGTGATGAAATGTATCAGGTCTGCTTGCACTCTAAAGGGGCAAATCATCTCAGATGGCAGCTGCTTGAGTCTAAGCTATGCAGCCAAACCTTTGGACCTGAGCAGATTTTGCCACGCTGGGAGGGATGTTTTCAAGCCATAGAGCACTAGAGAAGGGAGGGAGACAAACGGCCATCTCAAGCTCTTCTGTGGATGAACTTTGAAACAGCAGTAAGAAATATGCAAAAGGAGTTGCTGAACATAGAGCCTCAGAACGCCAAACTAGGGACATGACTTCTAATGGGAATGTATAAAACAATATTCTGGATATCTTGGTCTTGTATAGGAGCTCTTTTCTCCTTCCCTCACACCACCTGGAAGACTTTGGGCTTTGGAGCTAACCCTAGTGCCCTCCTGATGTGCAAAACCAGAATATTGATTGGGTTGGAGGCTCAGGATGTCTACTTTTCAGAACTCAAGTCTTCATTGTTAAAATTAATACATGCACACTTTTCACTCCTTTTGAAAAATAGCTTTTAATTTACTATAATGCCATTGTCTTCAAAAATCTTCCATTTAAAAGCTACTGTGATTACCATATTTTCAAAGGCAGCTAATGCTATATGGATGCACTGAAATTGCTCAGAGACAAGGATGAAGGGGAGGGCCTGTACCATCTGGCTCTTTGTCAGGGGTACACCACTGAGCTGAATGATCTCTCTCTTATGAGAATTTAGGAAAACCGGGCAATAGCCTCTGGCAATAGCTCCATAAAAATGGTGTTAGGGTTGTTCTGACTATATGTAAGTAGAATAAGCAGAGGAGGGGACAATGTAACTTCTGCTCCAATTTTTGTGCAAGCAGAAATGTTCGTCTGTGAGCCAACTGACATACAGGGCCTGAATCTCTGAGATTTCTGGGATATGCACCGTTTAAAATAACAAGAGCCACTCAAGCAGCATGAGAGCTGGAGCCTGACCCCCACTCCCCATCCCCAACACACACCTGACCGTCTGTCTGGTTAGATGACCCCCACCCAACACACAGGAAAGGGGAAAGGTACAAGGCAAGCTTTGCTAAGGGCCATATGAGGGAGGCAGACCCAACAGGCAGCATCAACAGGGGAGGGAGAGATCACCTCCATCTGGGGTGTCTTCAGAGGCTGGGTGATGAAGGTTAGGTCCCTAAGAATGAGCAGGACTAGGATCTAGGAGAGAGAGGAGGGTAATCAGGAGGAAGCAAATGGCATGCAAGGACAAACAGAGAGAAGGCATACTTGGGGGCACAGTGAATGAGAGTTCTTTTTGGACGGGGCAGAGAAGTAGATGAGAAGTGTGGCTCAGTTCTGATCAATGCTGAATGGAACGATGCAGAAAGTCAGATTTACTTTGAAGATGGTGAGGTTGCCATCCAGGGCCTTCGAGCAGGAGAATGACAAATTGAAAATAAGGAGGAATGAAGTTTAATTTGATGGTAATGTGCCAGAAAAACTGAAGAGGGAGAGGGAGGAGCTGAAGGCAGACAGGTCAGAGAAGTGGTTACCCTAATAGTTAGGTTTGAAGCAACAGGGGCCTAAACCTGCATACAAATGTTTATAGCAGCGCTTTTCATTATTCCTCATAACTGGGAACAACACAGACAACAGAGACATCCTTCTGAGGGTGAATGAACAAATAAACTGGAACATCCTCATAACAGAATACTACTCAGAAAAAAGAAAAGAATGAGTTACTGATGTGTGAAACAGCTTAAATGAACATCCAGGGCATTATGCTGAGTGAACGAAGCTTGTCTCTAAATGTGACATATTATAGATGTCACTTATATAACATTCTGAAAAAGACAAAACTATAAGACTTGGGAATAAATCAGTGGTGGCCAGAGTTCAGGGAAGTTCAGGGAAAGAGGGAAGGTATGATTACAAAGAGGTAGCATGAGGGAGTTTTGGTGGGGGAGGTAATTGATTTGTAGCTTGATTATGATGGTAGTTACACAAGTCTATACATTTCTTAAATAAATTCTGTAGAACTGTACATCCTAAAAGGGTCAATTTTGCTATATGATAATAATTTCTAAAATATCAGAGTTGTCCCCCATTAAATATAACATCTGAAAGAATGGAAATAGTTAATGATTACATCTTTATAACTCAGTGACTATATTTATATTAAAAACTCTCCCTCAAATAATAGAAAATGTATCCCTCAACTGTAGAATAAATTCTTCATGTTTAAATATAAATCATAAAATATTAAGCCAGCAAAAATATTTCCTTTTTCCAACCCTTTCTTCTCCATGCCGGACTCTGTTGCTGGCTGCCCGCATCTCACCGTGACCTTCCTAGATAAGAGACCCTTTTCTGCCTCCTTCCCCTGATTCTCCAGCTGTTTCCTCTTTTAAACAATATTTTGACAGCAATGATGTTTTCTCTGCTTTTTGATCATAACAGTTATGCATGTCGGTAGTTCTCCTTTTTAACGGAACAAAGTGAATGGTACCAGAACATCCCAAGAATGGCATGAATGAATGAAAATTTCACCTGCTAATAAGCCACACACCAAATGGTGAGATATAGGGAACTCTCTCCTTTCTGAGTGCTTCAAGAGTCTATGAGAGTTATTTTCCAAGGTATTTTTTGAGTTCCAAAATAAAGTTGACTCCACAGAAAGGAGGCTTTTCTATAGACTCCTCTGATTAGCAAGGCACCAGATCCTACAGAGGACATGAGAAGAGGAGGTCTGTCCAAAGCCTCCATCTGAAACTCAAGTGGAAGCCAAGCAGCAGTCATCAGGAAAAGGTCAGACATCTAACACTTGATAACTTGAGTTTATAAGTATATGAAATTGCTAATAAGAGAAACCTGGGCCTCTTTCCACAGATTAATTTGGAGTCACTTTTTAATGGCACTGTTTTAATACGATTAAAAAAAACTTTTTCTAACATATCAATAGCTTGTGAAAATTGTCATTTCATTTGCAGCCATTAGAAAACTTTTTCAAAGTTTTAAAAACTGATATAAATCATTTGTCCTCCATACTGTGTCAAACATTGTTTATGTGGCCTCTTTTTAATATTATTTTTTAAAGTATGCTGATTGCTGAAAAGATTAAACCAAACAGAAAACGATTAAAGAAAACTAGTAAAAAAAAGAAATCTCACATCCCCACTCCTCGATTCTTTTCTAGCCACCCTCCCGCCCCCATCTAGCACCTTCGCCCATTTTAATGCTAGACAGGACTCCAAGGGAAATGGTGGACTGTAGGATCTTGGGGGAGGAGGGGAGGTGGGCGAACTGGAACCAGGAGACACTAGAAGCAGATGATTCCTCAAAGAAGGAGAGATAGATGGTCGATTTACCCCAAGGGCCTGATCCTCCCTGGTAACCCGAGAAAGACGAATAGAAGCTGCAGGAAGAAGGTAACAGCTCTATTGTCTCTGATTGGCAAAGACAAAAAAAGATTGACAGTATCAAGTGGAGGGAATGCAAGGGGCGGGCTGCAGTGTTAAATGGGAGGGGTAACCGGGGACTCGAGCTCATTGATGACGCGATCCTCACGTGACCAGGAGTCGACGTGTGCAGAAGTCCTTATAGTCCAGGGCCTGTTTCCCTGTAGCAGCTCCTTATTGCTGGGGAAGGAGAAAAGTGCCCCGGATCCTTTCAGGTCAGTATAAAGGTGGGCGCTGCTTTCGGGACCCTGGGGTCTAGGAGTCGGAGAGCAAAAATCAAACGAGGCCGGCACTGCTTTCCCAACACTACGGTTCCGCCACACTCCCATTTTTGTGAAGGGAATTTGGGGCTGTTTGAGAGTGGGTGGGGGTGGAGGGGGAGAAGGATAGCCAATTGAGGGTCCCGAGAGAGAGACATAGAAACAATCTGGAAATAAAACTCGAGTCTCCCACTCCCTGCTTGAAGGGAACCGGTAGGCACTGGGGAGGGAGGGCGGGGTTACCTTAAAAGGAGGGAGAGGATGAGGACGTGGGGAAACTTTAAACGAGTAAGGCCTAGAATCTTGAAAGGGACCCGTGATTCAGGTACTGACCTCACCGAGCACTCCTGTCGGTCTGCAGGACTCGTGGTCTTTTGGAGCGACCCAAATCGAGCGAGGGAAGAGGGAGGAAAATCCCCTGGATCCCTGCAGGTCAGTGTAAAGGTGCAATTGCCTCAGGTCCCTGGGGGTGGGGGTGGGAGTGTGGATGACACCAAAGCCCATCCCTGGTCGCTGCAGCCTCTCCCCCATCCAGATGGAAGCGCCAGAGGCCTGGGCAGAGTCTGCAGCGGAAATGGGGCGGGGGCGGGGGCGAGGGCCGGGGGAAGCGGGAGAGACGTGGAAGGGGGAGGGGAGGCCAGAGACTGGACCAGTGGGTCTCAGGTGAGAGGCAGGAGGTTGGGATGGCTTGGGAAAGCCCAAAAGGGCGGGAGTATTAGAGACCGGAGGCGAGGGAGGGGTTAATTGCTTCCGCGCTGCTCCCGTTTCGGTGCTAGGAGAGGCCTGTAGCAGGGCCTGCTGGGAAATGGTGGGCTGGAGCGGGAGGAGAGAAGATGGAGCTGGAGCGGGAGGGGGACGGCAGGGAGGGGAAGGAAGGGGCGGAGCCAGGGGAGTTCTGAGCCTGAGGATCTAGCCTCCTCTAGTTGGAAAACTTTATATGACAATTAGGGCCCTGAATGAGAAAAGGCCAGTCTCTATGGAAACCCGTATTCTGGCCGCTGGTCTACTTGCCTGGCATCTAGTCGTTTTGTTTCCTTCTTTTCTAGGATTAACTTATTCAAAAAGAAAATAATAGAAAAATACTCAACATGCAAAAGTCTTGTGAAGAAAATGAAGGAAAAGCACAGACCTTGCCAAAGGCCGAGGAAGACCGCCCTTTGGCAGATGTACCGCGGGAGGCGGAAAGAAACCCTCCAGCTCCTGTAAGCCAGGAAGCAGAAGGAAACCTCAGAGGAGGGCTGACTCAACCTGGCCAGGGATATAAAGAGGACACTCCGGTTAGGCATTTGGACCCTGAAGAAATGATAAGAGGAGTA